TTTCCATAGGATCTTGCACTAGTTTGTATCTAATTCTTGGTTTTTTTCTTTTGCCATATAAACTTAGAAATACCTGACATGACTGAACATTTGAGATCTTGTTTTCAAGCCTCATCATGGCCAGTTGGGTTCCAAATCCATACATTGCATGTAAAACATGTGCCAGAGCATAAACAGCATTGTAGATATTGTAACTTTCACCTGACATGCTCCTTTCAAAAGTGTAATTGGGCAGATTCTGCAGATTCTCCTTTTCTTTTGGGGGGATATTTCCTTATTTATGGATCTTGCATCCAAAGACCAATTCCCACAATTGAGGAAGAAAGACATTTTGTTAAAGCTTCTGGAAAATCATAGAATTCAAGTTCTCTAATGTATGGGTCAGTTAGCACACTCTCCTTCTATGTTTCTTTCTCTCACATGACAGACGATTTGAAGGAAAGGGAGATGTTATCAAAAATAATTTAATACTGTTTGCACCTAGCAATCGTTGTGAATTGTCGCCATTTTTATTTACAAAATTCATTATATTCCTTCAGATTATTTGACCTCACTGGAAAAAAAGAGGGAGGGAACCATTTTTATTTCCATAGCAAGGAAGATAAAGCAGAAATGGTTAAATTGTTTATTTTATTCAAAGAGAAAATATGTTTCATTTGGATATCATTTCTGGAATTTGTGCTTGTGAAGAAAAAAAATGAAACTCTGAGGTTGGTTTTGTTGATTAGAAAGAATTGACATTATAGGAATGGCTAGTTATATATTAATGTGTAAAAGGAAAAAGTTGATGTTGGAATGTGTTAATCTTTCACTGTGCTAAGAAGTGTTAGAAGTCTTTTCTTTCTTTTTTTTCTCTTTCCCCTTGTATCTCACACCCCCTTTTCCCCCATTCCCTTCCCTTCCCTTAATTTCCTACCCTGTTTCTCCAACAATATGGCCTCCCCCAATAGGAAGTCCCAGCATGTTTTATAGGCATGAAATGAAATTAAGCCCCGCCCCCCAAATTAAGGCCTATATTAAAACATGCAAAATGGGGGGAATGGTGGGGGGGCTTGCCATTAGGAAGTACTTTTGTTGCACACCCAGATATGGTGTTGCCTGTGTTGACTCCGATATGAAGTGCCCCACCAACGCCGAGGTTAACATCCAAGCCATCGCCGCCCGCCCGAAGATGCAAGGGGGGGAATTAAGTCACCCCCCAAAAAGACAGCCTAGCCATTTTTTCAGGGCTCAAAATAAAATAAGACCCGGCCTTATTATATGAGAAACACGGTACTTTTTTCTTCTCTTCTTTGTATTTTAACAAAACATTTAAAAATATATTGAAAAATAACACACACACACAAAAGAAGATCCATATATGCTTAAAAAACTGATACTGAACCAAATCCTTTAAAAATAAAAACAACAAAATTAAAAATATTAAAATGAGAAAATTTCCTCCTTGAAATAATAAACACATGTTTAAGAAAAAAACACACACAGTTCCATAAATGGTGTTAAAAAACCCTATTCTGTACCAAACACTGTAAAACACTACATTAAAAAATAACTAAAAAGTTTAAAATGAGAAAGTTTCTTCCTTAAAATAATAAAAACATTTAAAAACATTATTTGACACAAAAAATGACAGTATACACAGCAAACGAGATAACTATGCTGGGTTCAGTATCACAAATCACTAGTCGAACACTTCCCAAGCGTTTAGGACTTTGTGATGTCTCGGCGGATTATGCAAGCAGATCCCAGTAAGGTGGCCTTCTGCAGCAGACCAATGGTGCTCTTGTCAGCGCCAATTGTTTTTTTTTTTAAACAATGTTATTGATTTTCAAAGACAGTACACAAACAAACAAAACATAAAATATAAAAACATAGAACATCTTTTCTGAAAGCTGCTTTATCCCGGGTTACAACTCTTCGTACAGACACAAATTCAAATTCATATTCATTTTATATACCATTCCATATCTTATTACCATTTTCAATTTTCTATATATAACTTCTCACCTCTTTTAACTTTCTTAGTTTTATTTTATTTATCTCATCTCAGTTCAAATCATAATACTTATTATTCTTTGTCTGTTCTGTTTCCAGCTATCCATTTATCTTTTCTCTTTAAACAAAACTTCTCCTGTACACTGATTGGAGTATGACGCCTTTAACTATTTCCCCTAAATTTATAATACTTAATATAATACATAACTTGCATTGGGATTCTGTTTAGTACATTCTAAAATTACACAATGTATTTTATAGAAAAAAAATTTATAGGTATATGATGTAATTAAAACAACTATCAATGCCAATATAAATCTAATCATTAATATTAATATTCATTTATATCTTAAACATTTTATACATTACTTTTCAATTAAATATCATACTTTTATTGGAACACTTATACTTTCCATAGTTATTTCCCCCCCACATCACATATTTTAAATCATTATTTCATTAAAATGTTCCCATTTCTCCTCTTTCAATTCTCTCATTTATTTCATTGCCTTCTTCTTCACAAAAATTTCACTAAATTACACTAAATATTTTATCCCATTTTGATTACATGTTGTTTCCAATTTTCTAACATTATTTCTGAATACAAATATAAGAATACAATCTTATGTACCTTTGCAGAATCCCTTTTTCAATTAAGTTTACCCATTGTCTCTAAAAGAATTTTGTTTCTTTACATCTTGCTCCCCACCATTGAGGCTTCTCATCCCTTCCTTTCTCCCTTGCTTATTCTTCTCCTTGCCCTTTTTACCCCCTTGTCTCTCCACCTCCCTTTTCTTCTTCTGCTTTCCCCCTTTCTGTTGTTTTCTAACATTGTATCCACTTTTCACCTTATTTTTCTCTTTTTTGGTTGTTTTTTCAAATCTTAAAGTCCCCTTTTTCTTTTCCTCTTTCTCCTTTCCTTCCCCAAATAGAGTCACTTGTTCATCAAAGATGGCTTCTTCTTTATCCCAGTCATCCTGTTGCGCAGTCAGTTTTTCATAAGTGCAAACCGCCATTTCTAAAAATTGAAAAAGAGTGCCAAGAGAATCTTTCCCTTCTTGTTCTTCTTTTTTGTATTTTTGGTATTCAATTTTCAATTCATCCACAAGTGATGCCACTGTAGAGAGAAAAAGTTTTTCCAAAACAACCACCCAAGTGCTTTTAATCAAAGATAGTTCCCAAAAGTTCCAAAATCACCAAACAATCCAAATAAGCTGTTTCTTTTAGTACTTTCTTCTTTCTTCTCTTTCTCTTTCTGGGGTTACTGTTTAGTCTCAAAGTTCCAGTTAAAATGTATCATTTAGAAGTCTTGTTAATATTTAATAGCTCTTTAAAATTCTAGGCAATCTCCTCCTTACTTTGAAATTCTGCTCCAATTTTTTTTCCTCTCCCTTCCCACTTACAGCAAAAAAAGGTGTTTTTTTTTTTAAATGTTCAGAAATTCTTATCCCTTTAGCATTTAATTACCTCCAATGCGGGTTTTCCGATTTCTCTTGCGGTTCTATTCGCTGTCACGTTAGGAAGGAGAGTGAAAAGAAAGAAAAACTTTCCCTTTTAAACTTCCATTCGCCAATTGTAAATCTCTGGAAACGATGTATCTTTGACAAATTTTAACTTCCAGGGTACTTTCGCTGATGCTTTATCCTGGTCAGCAAAAAACACTTTCACTTCTTCACAGCTCCTCCTGCACTTTCTTTTTCCGACTGAGCGCTTCTATGTGGCGGCCATTTCTGACTGCTGCTCAGCTGCCTTCGGAAAAGGGGGTTTAGCCGGCTAGGGAAGAGAGGTGCGATATCTCTTGACCCTGCCAGGTCCCCCCTGTCTTCACCACCTTCTACGGAGGTGGCTAGTCCTGAAGCCGGGTGGCTCAGGGCACTCGGGCAGCGAGCACAGGCAGAAACGGCGCACAGTCACGGATTCCTGCCTGCCCCGAAGCGCTGCAGACCGGATGTCCAGAAGGGACACACATACACACACAATACACAGAGAGACACATACTGGTAACAATAGTAATAATATAACAGAGTAGCTTTAGCTAAATTTCTCTTTATATTGGCTTATTTATACTTCTCTTAATTATATTGTTGTATTTGTAATTATGAATCATCTTTATATTTAATTCATACATAGCAATGATCTTTCTTCATCTAGTTTGTGGACTGGAGACTAAGTCATATGAAGAACAGTTACAGAAACTGGGCTTGCCTAGTCTAGTGAAGAGAAGGACCAGGGGAGACATGATAGCAGTCTTCCAATATTTGAGGGGCTGCCACAGAGAGGAGGGGGTGTCAACCTATTCTCTAAAACACCAGAAGGCCAGACAAGGAATAATGGATGGAAACTGAACAAGGAGAGATTTAACCTGGAAATAAGGAGAAACTTTCTGACAGTGAGAACAATCAACCAATGGAACAGCTTGCCCTCAAAAGTTGTGGGAGCACCATCACTTGAGACTTTCAAGAAGAGATTGGACTGCCATTTGTCAGAAATGGTGTAGGGTCTCCTGCTTGGATGGGGGGTTGAACTAGATGACCGATAAGATCCCTTCCAACTCTGATTATCTGTTATCTGTTAATTTGTACCTCTTGTCTGTAATCACTCATAAAATCTATTCCATATCAGGTAATATTCTGTGTCCTCTTTATTTTTTATTTTTTATTTCAATCTGTCCATTTTGGCACAATCTAAAATTTTCCAAATTATATCCTCCTCTGATGGGGTGTTCTCATTTTTTCAATATTTTGCAAATACCATCCTTGCTGCTGTCAACTAGCTTTTCATCCACACAGGGACATGGAGAAGACAAGGTTACTTTGAAGACATGATAAATGAAAGGCTGGGTGATTGTTGCTGAAAGCAGAAATATTGTCACCAATTGCAGCACTAGAAAAGCAATTCTTTTATGGACAAATTTCTCCTTCATGTTATCATTTTTTTTCTGAAATCTTATCACATTCTAAACATGCATCAAAGAAAAATATAAATGAAGCCAGCTGTTACATTAGTTAGAAATTCTTGTTTCTAACTATATTTTCTCTACAATTCAGCTCTGGCCTCAGCAGAATAATGTAGCATTTGGGGGAAAAAATACAAGCCAAGAGAGCAGCTCCAGAAGCTAAAATGGAGAAGATCTCCACAGCCACCATGGACTTCCCTTTGGTGCTAAGGTAGGTGGGGAGGAAGGAGATCCAAACACTGCAAAAGACCAGCATACTAAAAGTAATGAATTTGGCTTCATTAAAACTATCAGGCAATTTCCTAGCTAGAAAGGCCACAGTGAAGCTGATGATGGCCAGAAAACCTAGATAGGCAAGGGCAGTGTAAAACATTAAAGCTGAGCCTTGCTTACATTCTAAAATAGCCTCTCCATACACAGAATGAAAATCCAAATTAGGAAATGGGGGAGAGGTTACCAACCAGGTGGCACAAAGAAGGGCTTGGACCAGGGGACAGGCTATGACAATGGAGTTGGTCAGTGGTTTTCCTAAGAGTTTCCTTGTCCTGTTCCCTGGCTTGGTGGCCATGAAAGCCAGAACCACCATGACAGTTTTTGCTAACACTGAGGAAACTGCAAGGGAAAAGAGAATGGCAAAGGCAGATTGTTGGAAGAGACAGGTGATCTTCCCTGGTTGACCAATAAAGAGGAAGGAGCAAAGGAAGCAAAGCAGGAGGGAGACTAGGAGGATGTAGGTGAGATCTCGGTTGTTGGCCTTGACAATTGGTGTGTCATGATGTTTACAGAAAATCACCAGGACTGCAAAAGTGATCACAGAGAGGAAAAAAGCAAGAAAAACCAAAATGTATCCCAGAGTGTCTTGATAAGCAAGGAAGTGGATCTTCTTAGCAATGCATTGGTCCTTGTCCTTATTGGGAAATTGTTCTTCTGGGCAGGGTTCACAGTCAGCTGCATCTGAAATCAAAAGTCTTTGTCTAAGTAATTCTTGAGCAACTACCATGCACATTATCCCTCCCACAAAGGTGAAAGGTGTGTTTCCTTTCTGCTGGTGACCAACTCATAAAGAGAGTGATGAAAGAACCCACTGTGCAATTTATGGGGCAGAAAAAGAGCAAATCATCCTTCATTTATGATGATCCTGGGGATAGATTAGCCAGAGACAAGGATTGAGTTCCACCTATCCATTCACTGTGCACTTCCAGGAGTAATGTGGCTTTCAGTCTAAGATTCCTGCCTGATTTCCCCCCCAATTTTCCCCATTTTATGATGGAACCCACAGAAGATCAATAGATCTGTTATCCAGGAATGTTACTGGATGTTGAATATTGCTGTTTTGTTTGTGAGTACATTTTCCCTGTCTTAACCTCTCTGCTTTGTATCTCAAATCTATTCATTCAGATGTTTTTGTCCCTCCTGCTGTATCAAAGAGCCATAAATAGATGAATCTCCTGTGGACTGCATATCCCCTTCCTCAGGAATATATTGGAACTTGGTTTACCAATTGGATGTGAAAGTAGAAGCAAAAATGAATTTTGGGAACTCATAAATTGTGCCCTCAAACTATCCTTGCTGAGGATCAAGGAAGGTAGCCTCGGTGGCCAAGGCAATTTACATCTTGGTGTGGTTAGCCAGCAGCAGATGCAGATGGTGGAGGAGAGCGAGGATTCGGAGGAGGGGACGGGACCATCAGGGAGTGGACTGCTGCCTTCAAGGATGGTGAGGGCTGGCAACAGTGATGAGGAGATTTCAGAAGAACCTATGCTCAGTGCACGTGAGCACAGGATGATTTGTAGGAGGGAACAGCTGAAGCTGCATAGACAACTCGGGAGTAAGGAGGCAATGTAATGGACCCTCCCTCTAGGAAATATGCCTGGTTGCAAACGGTTTTTGCCTTTGCAGAAGGCAAAAAGCGTTTGAAGGATTCAGTGTGATGATAACAGACTTTGATTTATTTGAAGGTTTCTCTAATTGGCTGCAAGCCATCTGGTAACTACAAAGAGGTATTTGTAGAATAAAACTGTGAACGTTTCAGTTTTTGAGTTTATCTTTGTTTTTGCTCTCGGGGAATTCGGCTGGGTCAGAACACATCTGTAAACTGAAAGGCACGACTGCATGTCAATCATATCAAAAATGACACAATAACAAAAACATATTGATTTAATGGATGTCTTCCTAGATTGTAGAAGATCTACTTCAAAAGTAGCTGCTCTACCTGTCTGATTAGAAAAGGTCCCTTCTGGACAAGCCTCACACTGGTAGCAGCAAACTGGCTTGCCTTCTGGAACTCTTCTCCTCTCTCCTGCCTGGCACCTCTTCCTTCCACACCTGGCAGAGGGGATGGTCTGAAAGAGAAATACTTGAAATTACTTAAGCAATAAACCAGATGCATTAATCCCCCCCCCATTCCTGTTTCCATATTCCTACTTGTATGATTAGATTTTTTTTGTAAAGAAATAGATTGCCACCGTCTTTCAGAAATCAGGAATCAGGAATAGCTTCAGAGGGATTCATGCCACTGGCATTCCTGACAGACCTATGGATGTGGGATATTGAAACTAGGATCCCAGCCTGCAGAGAAAGAGTTGAGACTAAACTACAGAATTTATAAAAGGAAGAACCATGAGAATACAACTGACCAGAAATGGTCCATGGAAATCACTGTTGCCTGTTCTAATTGCATACTGTGTTTCAAGCAGATGAGGTTTCCAAGCCTAACACTTTGTGGAGTGACACAAATCAAACATGTTACATGCAATTCGACATCATATTTGTCTGTGAAACATGGCTCAATGCATCTCTCTATGACTCCATTACCACAGTAAGAGACTACCAAGATTACTGATCCGATCGTGAAATCCGTAGAGGAGGTGGTGTTGCTATCTTCTATAAAAAGTCCTTACATCTAAAAAATATCCAAGTTACCCAGGAGCTTGCTCTTCCTGAGACCATTGTCTGTGAACTGTCCTTAAATATCACATTTCGGTTCTTACTATGTTACAGAGCCCCTGATTATGACATCGAACATGTAAACAAGCTAAATACACTACTACCATGGGCAGCATCCTGCCCACACACTTTTATCTTTCATGGTGACTTCAATCTACCTCATATTGACTGGACCCTAAATGAATGTACAACTGAACCCATATTCGCAACCTTCTACAATGCTATTACAAATCTGGGACTGGAACAACTAGTAACCAAAAACACTAGACTAAACAACTGCCTCGATCTCATCTTCTGCAATAGTTTGAAGTTAATTTACAGAATACAAACAAAAGGACCCTTTTCCAGCAGTGACCACAATAGGATTGACTTTTGTCTCAACATACGCCCACACAAAAATCATCACAATGACGTAATCCACAAGTATAACTTCAGAAAAGGCAACTATGATCTTATAGACAACAATCTCTCATGCCTTGATTGGCAATTCTATTAGCTGGATACAATACTGTTGAAGACCATTACAACATATTCTTACTTGAAGTCAAAAGAGTCATCAAACTATATGTACCAACAACAACTCCCAGAACCAAAAAAAAAAAAAACAGATTACCCATAACAATAAGGAAACTTCAATCCAAAAAGAGATCACTCACTCTGGCAGAAAAACAAATCTGGTCACGTTGCCAATTTCAAAAGCCGATATAAAAATTTATGCCATCAGATAAAGACTGAATGCACCAATTATCACATTAAACAAGAGGAAAATCTTCTATGCACCAATTCCACACACGCTTTTTACAATTTTGTAAACAACAAATTAAAAGACTCAAGGTCCATCCCACCCTGATAGGACCTAATGGTAAAGACTGCAATGATGACACCATTAAAGCCAACATCTTTAACATTCTTCAGCTCAGTATTTGTAAACAGCAATGGATCAGGCCCAGTATTTCCTAGCCGAACCAGAGACAACTACAATGATCTAATACATATTGATTTTACTGAAGACAATGTTGAAAAAGCACTACGCAATCTAAAACCATCTCTATCTATTGGACTGGATGGAATATGTGCCTACTTCTTTAAAAAGCTATCCACTGCCATAGCCGAACGTCTAAGTATAATCTTTGAAAAATCTTTCAGGACCAGCTCCTTGCCTAACCTATGGTCACAAGCCACGGTCATCCCCATCTTCAAAAAGGGAGACCCCAGCCTAGTTGAAAATTACAGACCAATCTCCTTATGCTGCGTCACCTGTAAAGTCATGGAATCAATTATTAAGCAATCCATTATCCTCCACTTAGAGACAAACAACCTACTCTCCAATAAACAATTTGGTTTCAGGAAAAAACTATCCTGTAATCTGCAACTCTTACACTACAAAAACATATGGACTACAGAACTCGATCAGGGCAAAACAATAGACGTGATCTACATAGACTTCTGTAAAGCCTTTGATTCAGTGGTACACGACAAACTACTCCTAAAATAATAATATCACACTACTAACTACAGCATACAAAACATTTGCTAGACCAATACTCAAATACAGCTCATCAGTCTGGAACCCACATTACATATCTGATATTAACACAGTTGAGAAAGTCCAGAAATATTTCACAAGAAGAGTTCTCCACTCCTCTACTCGTTATAGAATACCTTATGCCACCAGACTTGAAATTCTAGACTTAGAAAACCTTGAATTATGCCATCTTCAGTCTGATCTAAGTATGGTATATAAAATCATACATTGCAATGACTTACCTGTCAATGAATACTTCAGCTTCAACCATAACAACACAAGAACACACAATAGATACAAACTCAAGGTTAATAGCACCAAACTTGATTGCAGGAAATACAACTTCAGCAACAGAACGGTCAATGTCTGGAATACTCTACCTGACTCTGTGGTTTCTTCCCAAAACCCCAAAAACTTTAACCTTAGACTGTCTACTATTGACCTCACCCCTTTCCTAAGAGGTCTGTAGGGGGTGTGCATAAGCGTACCAATGTGCCTACCATCCCTGTCCTATTGTTTCTTTTATTTTTCTTATATGTACCCATTTCATGTATTCATAACTATGTTTATACTTATACCTTTTATCTTGTAAGCGATTGACAAATCAAATAAATCAAATCAAATCAAATGAATCTTTCCCTGAAATTACAGCATTTTCTTGCAACTCACCTTTGTGGCCCAGATGATTCCATCACAGTTAATGGTGAAATCCTGGCCTGGGGGAGCCTCAGGATTTACTTGCCCAACCTTCATGGGGACAAAGGATTGATTGGGGAGCACAACCCAATTGAGAAGATCATAACGAGCAGATCCCAGTCCATCTTCTGAGAAGGAGACCTCATCTCCAGCACTGTTGTTGAACTGCACGTTGCTCAAATAGGCAAGAATCTGAAAGAAAGGAGACTTTCAAGAATTGGAGTATTTGAACTGGAGCTATGAGACATCGTGTCTTCTATCATCATATGATGGCCATATTGAGAAGACGGGTTTATATTTGAGTAGCTAGTTCCATCTCTTGGTGGCCATCTGAGGAATCAGGTGTATTTAACTCTGAAACTAAACATTTTCTCTTTATCACTGGGCATGGTTTCCAACTCTAATTTCATCAAAACACAATAATTTTAGTTCCACAATCTAAATTTAATTTTAGGATTTTTCTCTTGTGATACTTGGCTACATGCAGTTTCCAATATTTATTTGGATGCAAGGTCTCGTTAACTGATAAATGAATGTTTGCACAGAGCAAGCTGAGTAGCACAACAAATGGTAAACAAAAAAAAGGGGGGGCAGGGTCTCAGATGCATTGGAATGGGAGTACGCAAACATTTAATCACTAACAGAAGAAAGCCATATGGGGAGCTTCCAATCTAAGTGTCTGTGGACTGAGTCAAAAGCCACAGAACTTACTTGCCATGACTTCACATTTGAGGTCCTCTTTCCAAGCCTCATCATGGTTGGTTGAGCTCTGGATCCATACATCACATGTAAAGCGTGTGCCAGAGCATAAACAGCATTGTAGATATTGTAAC